CACCCAAACCAGGAACCAAGCGTTGCACTTGTGCAGCCTGTTGACGATCGTAGCTCACACGTATCGTTTTAAAGTGCTTCCCTCAGCCCTCTAGATTCCTATTCTTTGCCCGTGCCCTCGGTGAATTGGAAACGAAGCAAACTCTAAATGAGAATAGTGACGATCAAAGATATGGCGCAACAGCTCTAATCACAAGCTGCAATTGCAGACTGCTGAGCGTTAACAACTTCCGCTGACGTAGTCACGCACCACCGTAGGTTAAAGATTTATAAGCTTCATTTTATTTTAAAAATCTTTCTTTGGGAAAATGAGACTGATAGGATGATTAGGGTGCAGTGTGCATTAACACAAAAAATATATTACTAACATGTACAAAGACACACCAAATGTTTTTTTTTCTCCTCTACACCTTTCGGATCTAATTGGGACGAGTCCTCGATCTACCGGGAGATCAGGATCGACGTAATGGGCACCACTGCTTTAAAAGAAGCCAGCCTGGCAGCGCATTGTTACAATATTTGAAAAGTTTTCATCATGAATATTGGGCAAATATAGTTCATGCTCTTAATTTATTTCGAATCAACATTAAGAAAAATACAATAGCTATAATAATAATGCATTGGTGTTAGTCTTATTCACTGCTATGCTTAATTTTTTTCTATGAATGTTTGTCGATGTCTGTGTTACATTATCGTTTTAGTACTATGATGTTTACGAACGATTATGTAGTTTGCTCCATTGTGTTGTTGTTGTCGTCCATTTTTTGCAAAGGTTTCATTTACTTGGAATTTATTTTCTTGTTATTTGTTTTCTTAGGAGGCCAATTGAACAATATTGTTTGTTCATATTTCCCTATCGGAAGAACTTTTCGTGAATTCACTTGCAGCTTTGTGTGTTAGTTTGTCTGCTGAGCAGTGCTCGTTCTTACACGTTTTCGACTCTAAGAGACGCTGTTGGCTTGGGTATAATTTTCGGTGTGTTGTCGTCATGCAGTCTTCCCGTATTTGTTTCCTTAGTAGGCCAATTGAACAATATTTTTTTTTTGTTCATATTTCCCTATCGGAAGAACTTTTCGTGAATTCACTTGCAGCTTTGTGCGTTAGTTTGTCTGCTGAGCAGTGCTCGTTCTTACACGTTTTAGACTCTAAGAGACGCTGTTGGCTTGGGTATAATTTTCGGTGTGTTGTCGTCATGCAGTCTTCCCTATTGACGAGGCACCGGATGAGATTTTCTGTCTTTTGTTAGCGGTGAGGGGGAGTGAAAGAACAACGCTGTGCACCGCACGTTTATTTGCACGTCAATGTCGACTTGGTGAGCAGCCATCGGAGACAGATTATTTTACCAAAACATATCCGCGTTCTTTTTTTTATGTCATCATGGGAAATAGCGGACCCCTGGCATTCTCTTGTACAAAATGGAGGTTGTTTTATGGATGGAGGCGAAACATAGGCACGCTGATGTTTGTGCTTCGTTTGATTGTCACGGTAGGTGGTCAGATTCGTTATTCTATACCCGAGGAGAAATTATTTAACCAAAACATATCAGCGTTCTTTTTTATGTCATCATGGGAAGTAGCGGACCCCTGCCATTCTCGTGTACAAAATGGAGGTTGTTTTATGGATGGAGGCGACGCCGTGCAGCTTCAGCTTCGAGATAATTTTTGAAACCCCGTTAGAACTGCATCGAGTCATGGTTGAGGTTTTAGATATAAATGACCACGCTCCCGTGTTTCCAAATAAAGATTCAGCTGTCATATTTGACATAAGTGAAGGAGTGGCGCTTGGAGTGCCGTTTCCCCTGCCCAGTGCAGAGGATCAAGATGTGGGGCAAAACGCATTGCAAAATTACATTTTGTCACCAAACGACAATTTTATCCTAAATCAGCATGCAAATCCAGACGGCAGTAAATATGTTGAAATGGTGCTGCAGAAGCCTTTAGACAGAGAGCGACGGCCCATGATTGAGGTTTTAGATATAAATGATCACGCTCCCGTGTTTCCAAATAAAGATACTACTCTCAAATTTGAAATAAGTGAATCCGCTGTAGTTGGAGTGCCATTTCCCTTACAGAGTGCAGAGGATCAAGATGTGGAGCAAAATGCGTTGCAAAATTACATTTTGTCACCAAACGATAATTTTAGACTTAATCAGCATTCAAATCCAGACGGCAGTAAATATGTTGAAATGGTGCTGCAGAAGCCTCTAGACAGAGAGCGACGGCCCCGTTTGTCTTTAAAATTAATTGCAGTTGATGGAGGAACACCACAGAGATCCGGGACCGTAAATATTGAAATAAATGTACTCGATGCCAATGACAACCGGCCAATATTTAATCAATCCGAATATAAAGCCTCCGTTGTTGAAAATACAACGAAGGGGACTCGTATAATAACTGTAAATGCTACAGATGCCGATGGTGATTCAAATGGACTCATCACTTACAGTTTGTCAAAAATGAAAGGGGGTGCAGCAGATATATTTAATATTGATGAAACCACTGGCACAATTTACGTGTCTGGTCAAGTAGACTTTGAAAGGAACAGAAAATACGAAGTGAGGGTGGAAGCAAAGGATCAAGGAGGATTGACTGGGACCAGTAAAGTTATATTTGATGTTATTGACATAAATGACAATGCTCCAGTCATTCATATAATGTCATTTTCAAGTCCTCTGTCTGAGGATTCACCTCCTGGCACAACAATTGCAATTTTGAACATAAAAGATGAAGATTCAGAGAGAAATGGACAAATAAAATGTTCCATCGAAAGAAAACTTCCTTTTAAATTGGAAATGTCTCTCACAAACTATTACAATTTGATTTTGGATCAGAATTTGGACAGAGAATCTGTTTCAGAATATAACATAACAATTACAGCCACCGATCTCGGAACGCCTCCTCTTTCTAGTTCAACCAAGTTACATCTCAGAATATCAGATGTGAATGACAATGCACCGCTATTCAATAAAAATATTTACTCTGCTTATGTCGCAGAGAACAATTCTCCTGGTACTTCCATATTTGCTGTTTCTGCCGGAGATGCTGATTGGAATCAAAACGCGAGAATCTCTTACCTTTTGGAAGATACACAGATAACTGGCAGTCCAATTTCAACTTTTGTTACTTTGAATTCTGAAACTGGTGTTCTCAGTGCCGTTCGATCATTCGATTATGAGCAAATTAAACAACTGGACTTGGTGGTCAGAGCACAGGATGGTGGCTCCCCTCCCCTCAGCAGCAACGTGAGCGTCCGCATCCTGATCCAGGACCAGAACGACAACGCCCCTCAAGTCCTGTACCCGGTGCAGACGGGAGGCTCGCTGCTGGCCGAAATGGTGCCTCGTTCTGCAGATGTGGGCTATCTTGTGACAAAAGTGGTGGCCGTGGATGTGGACTCCGGTCAGAACGCCTGGCTCTCCTACAAAGTGCACAAAGCCACCGACAGGGCGCTGTTTGAAGTTGGCCTCCACAACGGAGAAATCCGAACCGTCCGCCAAGTGACTGACAAAGATGCTGTCAAACAAAGACTGACTGTTGTCGTGGAGGACAGCGGGCGGCCCTCTCGTTCAGCAACAGTCATTGTGAACGTGGCGGTGGCCGACAGCTTCCCTCAAGTGCTGTCAGAGTTCACTGACTTGAGCATGCACGACAAGGAGTACAATGACCAGCTGACTTTTTACTTAGTCTTGGCGCTGGCGGTGGTGTCCTTCCTCTTCATCACCTGCTTGCTGCTTATCATATCGGTCAAAGTGTACCGGTGGAGACAGTCTCGCGTCCTGTACCACTCCAACCTGCCTGTCATTCCGTATTATCCACCACGGTACTCGGATACTTTGGGAACGGGGACTCTCCCGCACGTGTACAATTACGAGGTGTGCAGGACCACCGACTCCAAAAAAAGTGACATGAAAAATATGCAAGCCATGAGTCAAAGTTTAGTGAGTGTGGATGGAGCTGATGCAGACATGCCGCATGTGAACAAGGAACTGTCAGGAAACCTTTCACAGATGTCAACCTTGGTGAGTAAATATTTCACCACTATTTCTCAGTTTTATTTCAGTACATGTGTCCACCATTTCCAGTATAAGAAGAAAGGGTTCTCATCAGTTGTCACCTGTGATCAAGTTTCACATGTGACTTACATCCAAAACCACTTTTAAATAAATAACGTTCACACTATAAACCGTAACGGTAATTTCACATTCTAATGTAGAGACTACCATTTAATTCCGTATCAAAATTGTGCGTGAAATAACTTGCAAAATTAGCCATTTTGAGATGAACAGGGCAATTTCAATAAAATCTTTATGGACAGAACTAGAATAGAAAGACGATAAAATGACAAATAAAACTTGTACAAATGGTCTAAATACAATTTATTACAATATTCGATTACATTAACACAATACATTTTTGTCTTTTAGTCATACAGTCCACATTGTAAAACTTGTCTCAGTCAAATAAGAGCAGCAGGAAGTGTGGGAACGATATATGCTTGCATGCTTGTCTTTCAAAATGAAGTTCTCTTCAAAATAAAACACGCAACAGTGAATAGATATACAGTACTAGTCTAAAACATTATGTTACTTATTCAGTCCACCTATTCAACCACTAGTGGACAAACTGTGCATGCGGGCTCACTCAAAACAAATTTTTCAATGTATGAGAAACTGGTGAATTAAAATGAAAAATACCACAATATTTTAACATGGTGAAATAATATGCAGCTTTGATCTTTTAACATTTAACAAAAAAATCACATTTGACGTAGCCTTGATGTTCCACTCTTTCAGCTACATTGTAGTTGTCCAAGGTTTTGGACAGGCTTTTTTATGACTTCATCAATCACTCCACAATAGCCCAGTTTGACTTTACAGTTCAGCATTGTTGGAAGACTGCTTAAAAATAATAATAATAACAAATGAGTGTTTTAAAAAATTAGTAGTTGACGAAGTTACTACTTTTAATTCATGATAATAACAATATTATGAAAAATATTTGACACATTCGGAAAAGGCTATGATAAACCTCTACTATTCCTAATAATAATTAATAATAATAATAATGCACCGAAGTTGATGCATCTTTTTCAGGGTCTTCTGTTGAACTTCCACGAATAACTATCATATTTTATAAATGCTCATGATTATTTACTTAGTACGTTTTGTTGTTGTTGATGTCCATTGTTTGCAAAGACGTTCTTAATTTTAACCGTATTTGTATTGAAAGCCATTTTGTATCGGTTCCTGGGTAGGGCACAGCATTTTCTGGAAATCATTTCATACACCGGAAAGGCTAAACTGTATTGTTCCTACAGGGTGATGAGTGTAAATGTTTTTTTTTTTTCCAGCTGTGCCTCACTCGTTCTTACCCGGTTTA